GAGAGAGAGAGAGAGAGAGAGAGAAAGAGCGCAAGAACTTGTCTCAAAAAAAATAAATAAATAAAATACAAAACTATATAATCAATTTACCCATCCAAAGGACTATCAAGTGATGGACAACTTCCTGAGCCAGAATTTTCAGGGCTGCTTAAAGATAATGGATCCAGCATCTAGGAAAATGAGAGTTCCAACACGATTCAATATACTATAGCCAAATGTTATATTTTATTTTTTTCCTTTAAAAAACTGCCTTAAGATATAATTAATGAAACATAAAACTCACCCATTTAAAGCGTACAATGTAAGGCCTTTGGTACACTGAGAACGGAGCAGCCCTTACCGCAGTTCTGAACATTCTCAGTACTTCTCAAGGAGACTGTGTGCCCACCCAAGGCACTCTCCAGAGCTACTCATCTTTAAGCATCCCACACAGGCAAGCCACAACACTGATACTTACTAAGAGGAAAAACGCTTCCCCTAGAGCCTATTTAAAGAATTTCCCATGACTTTACCTACTGAAAACTGAACAGTGACTGCACCCAGCTGGAGTCTACGGGGACGCACAGAGCCTGCTCCACTGTTAGCAGACGTGCAGCACCACCACAGGGTGAGCATTCAGTGCGACACTAAGGGAAAAGAGCCACTCCAGGAAAACATTTCGCTGCTACAAAACTGAGATATTCTTTAAAATGTTATGGAAAGTTCACACAGCTCAGCTTCATACAGTTAAATAGTTCAAATTTTATTCTTTCAAGCATTCATTTTAAAAACGTATTTGAGAATTACAAAATAAATACATTCATTTATGGATGAACAATGTAAGAAATAAGTTGTTTTTAAAAAAATCAATAGCCTGTAAAAGGCAGATGTAATTAACAGGCTCCTGTACTTCGCTATCTTGCTCATCTAAGCAGAAGACGAACACACGCACACCTACTGACACACAGGCGGGTGACTGCCAAAGCACACCGCCCCCGAGCAACGCTGCCGTAAGCGCATGAAACACAGCTCACCTGATCCATGCTCTCTGGAATGAACTCCCCTTCACTGTTGATGCTAGTGAACGATCCATTCCGGGCAACCTGGTGCAGTTCATCTGGAATGTATCCCGGGGGAGGGGAACTCCTATCTCTATTAGGGGGTCCTCAAAGGAGAAAGAATACAAGATTTTATAAACATCAGCAAGCAAATAACTTTATATTTAAATAATGTAAATTTCTGAACTATATAAAAAATAACTTTAGTGAATGAGATTATTTATTAAAAGTTACCAGAACATTCATATTTGTAAAACTTCAAATGTTTCTTAGGTTTTCTAAACTCCTACGGCACTGTAACATTCCTTTTATACTCAAAAAGCAGTATGTTCTTCTGACGGCTGATAACCACATCACGGGTTTGTAATACAACACAGAATCTTAGCTAAATCCCCCCGCTCTAAGCTTCCAGAAATAATGCTTTTATGTTAGCTTTCACCACCATCTGTGGAAGGATTAGGATGCAGTGAAAGAACGAGGGCTCTGGTCCCTGTTCCAGTTGTTCACCGTATGGATTACCCTAGATCAGAAGGTCCTGGATCAAGAAACGGATTTCCACCCGTGACAAGGGCCTAAGTTCCTTCTCTGCTGTGACAAAATTTATATTCCAGAAGGATGCTGTGATGAGTAAATCACTCCCAATGAACATACGCTAGGTTCGTCTGCTTCAGGATATCCTTTCTATTCCATTTCTTTAATCTTTGGAAACCTTAAGTGAGAATACAGCTAATGGGGATCGTAGTGCATATGTGTAATCCCAGCACTGAGGAGGCTGAGGCAGGAGGATCACTATGAGCTCAATGCCAGCTACAAAGGGAGTTCAAGACCAGCCTGAACTACACAGTAAGATCCATCTCAGAAAGACCAAAAAAAAAAGGAGGGGAATACAATTCCCTAGAGCCCACTCTTCATGGCCAAAACTATTTTATTTAAAAGATGAATACAGTAGGCTCCACCCACCTCGAGCATCACTCGGGTGCAGAAACAAAGAGATAAATAAAAAAATAAACAAATAAATAAAAGAAAAAAAAAAAAAAAAAAGTGGAGGGGAGAGGGAAAGAGAGACAAAGAGAATACTTCTTTGTCATATAATCCCTATTAAAACACTTTTAAATTTGGAATCCTGGATATTATTTTGGGGTACTTAAACTCTGACTTTGTGGTAGGTTATACTTCTGGAATATAATGTCATAGCTTAAAAAACAGGAAAAAAGAAAAACTGAAAATCTGACATTCATTTAAGATGGTTCACTTCATTAATCAATTCTTACGAGACAAACGGTCATCTTATTTTTACTTGTGTGGGAATGATGCTGCATTTATCAACATAATCTCTCCCCTTCTTTGTAATTTTTTGAAATGATACCATAAAATGTATATAGAAGCCGGGCATGGTGGCACCTGCCTATAATCCAGCACTCTGAGAGGCTGAGGCAGAAGGACTACAAATTTGAGCCCCAGGGGGGGCAACTTAGTAATTTAGCAAGACCCTGTTTCAAAATAAAAAATATACAAAGAGCTGGGAGCGTGGCTCAGTGGGAAGGCTCTGCATTCAAATCCCCAGCATCCCAACAAAAGCAAACCAATAATACAGATATGGACGAAAAAATGGACATCTGGGTTCAATTTAAATGGGGGAAAAAAGCACTTACCTTTAGATAAAGGGGTCACTGTAAGTACTGTATTTGCCAGCATTTGTTAGTGAGGTAAGAAAGAGCAAAGTAACTGCCAACAAATGTGTGTCCAAGATCACTGTCCACGAAATGAGCAGGGAGGGACTCGACAGTGAGGCGGGGTGACTCAGGCTTCCTAACATCCACACTACTATGACATATGGGCCCCAGTTTTACTTCTTCCATGTATCTCTTATATTAAAAGAAGCCAGGGAAGAAACACGGGGCATGAAAATTTCTCCGTCTCCTTACTTTAAATCACAACTTCCCGCTGTGTTAGTGACGGGCAATGCCAACCTACTCGTGGTAATTCTAGACAATTTCCAGTTTTTGTTATATTGACATTGATGTTAAATAATAAGTATGCTTATTAGTAGACTAAGACTGAGGTATTTAATATAATTTTATCTCAGAATAAATTTAAAATATCAGTATTACTAGTATATTTTTGGTCTCTCTAAAATAACCAAAGTGAATTCGCTGGAGATTGTCTTTTGTTTTTTTTTTTAAAAAAACTTTAAAATGACAGATACAATAAAGAAAGAAATGAACTAATAGTGCTCATGTTTTCCACTTTAAGGAGTGAAATATGTAAGTTTTCTCTCAATGTATTGCTACAATCCCATGTTTTAAAGATGAGGACAGGACAAATTTACTATTCTAGTGTTGTTAACCAGAGAATTAAAATTTGAAGACAGGTATCCCAAATTTTGTCACCAAATTTTTTAATTATATCAAACTACACTGCAATCCCATTTCTAGCACTTCTGAAATAAAAAGTACAATTTGAGATAAGACACCTAAAAAGAATAGTCCTAAGTAGTCATTTGGAGAGACCAAGAGAAGACAATTTTCTTGCCGGCCCACGACAACGTAATCTCTTCTGTTACTAACAAACCTGTTCTGTTACCAGTCTCTTGGACTCGGCCTAACCGCTCCCTTTGTCCCACTCCACTGCTTCCTCCCTGTCCTTCTGTCTCTCCTGCTCCTCTACTTTCCCCCTCAAAGCCCTCCCTGTACATGCTCTCATGCTACCTTTCATAACCACATCTTTTCCCCTACTGGTTAAAAATATGCATCCTATGGTTTTGAAACAATGAGGCGCTTTTTTTTTTTAAAGACACAGATTACTGGCCCGGGAATACAGCTCAGTGGCACAGAACCTGCCTGGCAAGCCTGAGGTCATGAGTCCAATTCCCAGTACCAACCCCTCACCAAAAAACTCCACAGACTATTCATGTTTTATACAAATTAAAGATGATACACATCAATCCCAGTTCCACAAAAATTTTTTTAAAATAAAATAAAGATGATACACAGAACTGAGGAGTTAAGAGCACTTCTACTTAGCCCGTGTCTCCCAAGTAAGGCCATCTTACAACACAGCACATGGCATCTTTATTTCTGTGTATCACAGGTTCAAGTATAGTAATGCATTATTAATGACAAATAAAAATTAATAGGAAGATAAAAAATAATCTTGAAATTTTAACAATCTTTTATTTTGATAGTATACAATTTAGGAGCTTAAAATCTAGCCTATTTATTTTAATGTACGAGCATTACTTGTTTTAATTTTTTTCCTCCATTCTATCTATATAATTAAAACCTCTATAAAGTTTTATTTAAATTTGTTCAACATTAAAATATCCTGAGTATATAAACAAAGAATTTAACTAGGGAATTGCTAATCCTGTAGTTTGTGGACATTTTCTTTTTTTTTTTTTTTTTTTGGTTGCACCAGGGATCAAACTCAGGACCTTGCGCTTGTCAGGCAAGCACTTATTCCACTGAACTATCTCCCCAGTCCTATGAAATTAATTTATAAAGGACATCAGATTCTAGAAAGTCATTTTAACTTAGATAAATAACAAAGAATATAAAAATAGGTTGTTACTTCTCAGGATATGTTTAGGACTTGCCCTACCCTATTTAAAAATGGAAAAGAAACTGAGAAATTACCCATTTCATGAGTCATATACTAGCTTTCTTACCTATCATGGAAAGTCGTTTTTTCCTCTCGCCTCCAAATACTGTGTTATCCAAATCTTCTAGTGATGGCAATGGCTCTAAGTTAGTAGCCTGTAAAGAAAATGGACAACTGATGATATTATTTTCCTACAGGGCTTTCAACAATCCTTTCCTCCAGATCCAATCTAGCTATTCTGTACTGTTGGTAGGGCTTATCAATCTTCTACTCTTAGTCAATTAAACCCTGCCTAGCATAGTTGCCTGTTCTTCTAATCCAGCAATCTAAAGACTGAAGTAGGAAGATCACTTGAGCCCAGGAGCTAAAGGCCAGATGGGGCAGCAGGCAATGAATACTGCGACTGTCTTTAAAAAACAAGCAAACAAACAAAAGACATTTCAATCTTAACATAATTCTACCCACATGGTCAGTTTTACATGATCATATTCTTATCTACAGTTTTAACTATGTGGTTTTAAGAAACAAAGATATTAAAACTATAGCAATTAGGGGCCGGGGAGATGGCTCATTGGAATAAGCGCTTCCCTGGCAAGCACAAGGGTCTGAGTTCAATCCCCGGATCCGCAAAAAAAAAAAGAAAAAGAAACAAATGAATAAAAAAAAAAAAATAAAAAATAAAAAAATAAAATAAAACTATAGCAATTAAAATGTGTATATATCACATTGAAAATACATAACAATTATAAAATATAAATATTTCTTACAGTGAATTTTAAATGATATATCCTTAATACTTGATGGAGAAAATGCTGATTCATACCTGTGTACTTCCATTTATTACAAGTAATATCTTCAGGCTCTTCATATGAATACTACGATCCAAGAGTTCGACAGCTCTGTCCAAGTCATCTTGTGTAGTTAATGGAATCACCAACTAGAAGGGACACATGGGATCAGAAAGCCACCTTACAAGGTCAAGTTCTCCCATGAGCATCTCCAGCACTCAGAGTTACAAATCTCAAAATAGTTTTCTCTTAGACTGTTACTACAATCAATACTGGATGAGTATATTAATCTATATTTTGTCCTCCCCATTTACCACTATTGCAATTGTAGAATGAATACGGGTATTTAAAACGTTTGCTCTATTAATCATTACATTCCTTTAGTAAATATACAAAGATTGATCTGTTAGAAGAACAGTTCTATCATACAGCTAAACTTAAGTTACAGCATTTTCACCTCAAAACAGCAGTAAGAGATACACAAACTATTAGAAATAAAGATGCAACTTTTCGTCTACATAGATAAAAAATCTTTTTCCCAGTGGTAATCACAGATCTGCATCTCACCTGGCATGTTTTTCAACATATCAGATCTTGAGCATGTATGACAGCTACCACGGAGATGTGCCATTAAGCAACAGAACTGGAACCTGTAGTCGCCCAGGAGCTCATTTCCCCGAGCCTGCGACCTGGACTACTATGTACCACAGAAGTAATCTAAATGTGTCAGCCATCCCATCCCATAGTAAACTTGAATGTAGGATTTTGCTTTCTTTGGCCCCATCATGGATGAGATACAGAGAACAAAAGCACCTGGGAGAGATCAATTTTAAAAAGTGTATTTCATACAATTTAAGAAAATCAAAATATTTGTTTCTTTAAAAAAAGAAGAAAAAAATGTCAGTTTTAGCCAGGCATGGCAATATATATCTGTAATTCCAGCACTGGTAGGCTGTGGCAGAAAGACTGCAAGCCCAAGTCCAGCATAGTCAACTTAGTGACTTGGCAAGACCCTGTCGCAAAACACAGAGCAAGCTCGGGGCAAGGCCCAAAGTTCTAGCCCCAGCAGCAGCAACAAAAATTAGCCTTGTAGCTTAAGATAACTTTATGACAAGAATGCATATTTCACTTCATTAAAAGAAAGGCAGAGTACAAACAAATGAACTTATCCCATATCCCACACTTCTTAACACCTCTTATAATCACAGAATACAAGCCATTTAAATGTGAGACCCGGCCAGGGAGATGGCTCAGTGGAATAAGCGCTTCCCTGTCAAGCGCAAGGGCCTGAGTTCAATCCCCGGTTCCAAAAAAAAAAAAAAAAAAAAGAGAGAGAGAGAGAGAGCTATGTAGTCAAGGGTCCTCTACAGGACAAAACCCTGAAGACAAGGACCCACATTCCAGCAGAACAAAGCAGAGAACAGGTACAGAACTTGGTAAATGTTTAATAAGTACGACAGGAACAAGAGCTCAACCTGCACCAAACTCCCAAGTGGGCAGAGTGTGCATTCACTCTGCACATTTCATTAAAAAAAAATTAAGACTGCTAGGTATAACTATAAACTAGAATATAAATTCCATCATATATTCTGCTTTTATTTACTTGCTGTGTACTTCAAATTTTATTCCCAATTTGTTTGTATTTTATATTACTATAATATAAATAACATATAGTAATATAAATAATATATTACTTATAGTAATGTAAAAACAAGGCTGTTTCTTTCTCTGCGAGAACATTTTTAACAGAAGGAATTACTAACTGTTTGGTATCACAGAATGAGCCTGACCTGCTGAGATGCACAATTAAGCGCCTTTTGCTCACTATGAGCCACTCTGGTACACTGTGCCCCTATTTCCAGGGCTCTGCTTTCCACAGCCCTGATGTGATCCCTCCCGTGGCTCAGCTTTTTTAAATAATAAATACTAAATCAGGGAACATTTTCCTCCTTGGTAAAATTCATTTTGGCCTCACTCATGAAATTCTTTTTTTGGGGGGGGGGGTGCCAGGAATCAAACTCATGGCCTCTCGCTTGCTAGGCAGGCACTGTGCCACTGAGCTACATTCCCAGCCCCCCTCATTCATGAAATTTATGTTTATATTTACACACAGTTTATTTACTTATAACCTTTCTGGTTTATATTTCTGGAAACTAACAACTGAGTTCAAGAACACATTCAATAGAACTTAAATTTGAAAAATGCACATTATGACTACATTAGCAATACATGAAAATGTCCCATATTTGTGTTCTCTTCAGCTAGAAAATCCTTCCTTTGCTGGAACAGCTCCATACTCATCTTGCACAACACACACACACACACACACACACACACACACAGCCTGCACCTTACTATAAAGAACAGCTAACCTAAAACACCCAACCAACTCAGTCTTAACACATTTCTGCCAGCTTGAACCAGCAGTGGTTCAAGACTGTCCCGCTGTTGGTACAAAAAGATCTAATCACTTGCATCGGTCTTTTTACTAATAAAATTAATTAAAAGTCTATAAATGGACTGAATCTAGTTTCTTGAATTTGAATATTTACTGCCCAAATAAAATATTAATTAATTCATACCAATTAAAACATTATTGGGCTGGTGAGATGGCTCAGTGGTCTAAAGCACCTACTTAGAACAAGCTTAGCAAAGCGCAGGGACCGCGGTTCAATCCCCAGCACCACATGCCAGCCAGAACGCCCCCTGGTGGGCTGAGCTGGCCACACACACACACACACACACACATAAATAAATAAATAAAATTAAAAAAAAAAAAAAAAAAACATTATTATATGGGGCCAGGGAGATGGCTCAGTGGAATAAGCGCTTCCCTGGCAAGTGCAAGGGCCTGAGTTCAATCCCTGGTTCCACCAAAAAAAAAAAAAAAAAAAAAAAAAAAATTATTATAATCAATAAATTTAGTTAATCAAAAGAAACATTTACATTCATGAATTTCTTTGATGCGTGCAGAGCATGTGAAACGTCATAGCACACTTGGCTTTTTTTCCCCAAATTTTATTTTATTTCATTTTTATTTTTTTGAAAGTAACCCCCCCACCCCCCCACCAGGGACTGAAGTCAGGCCCTTGCATTCGTCAGGCGGGCGCTTATTCCACTGAGCCATCTCCCCGGCCCTCACTTGGCTTTTTGTAGCCACAGCAGCACTCATCTTTTTCAGATAATTTTCAGTAACATTCTCTATTCCACTTGCATGTGCTTCTTGCCAATCCTAGATAGGCTTCTACAAGGTGAATATTGCTTGAATAATTTGCACCCATGGCATTTCTCCACAGGTTAATAGTTTATGAATAATTAATTTTCTAAATTTCAACATGGAATTCTTTATGAGTACCCACTGCTGGTGAATATAATATTCATTTACAATTGCTGTACCACAAATTAGCTATACTGCCATTCTTTAATACCATTTAATGTTTTTTTTTAAGAACTGTAATATAATGGCATCTGGTCTGCTAAATCATCGCCTATCTTTGAATTAGTATAATCAGAGACCCCCTGAGAAATGGTATAAGCCAGCTGGAACAGCCAAATTCAAAGGAATTCAAATCAGAGTTATCTGGGAGCAAGACATGAATTATGGCCCCATGGAGAATGTGTTAAAGTTCTTAGTTGTTTTCATACTGGTAAACTACATGTTCACAGAATAACAATTCATTTTGAACAAATAAATTTACTTTATTTTAAAAAGAAATTTATTTTATTTTTCATTTTTAAAATTCATTTGTTTATTTGCTTCTTTATTTGGTACAGGGTCTCACTATGCTGCTCAGATTCATAGTGATCTTCCTGTCTCAGCCTCTGCAGCACTGGGATTACAGGCATGCACCACCATGCCTGGTTTCAGTGGCCTGTACAGCGCACCCAGGGCATACAGTACCAGGGGTCGAACCTGGGTCCTTACACTTGCCAGGCAGGCGCTTAGACCACCAAGCTATCGCACCAGTTCCCCAAGAAATTTATTTTATATTAGAAAGTGATACTTGAAGAGGTGAAATAGCATACACTCTACATGAGTTTTGTGCTTGTTCACAGGGTCATAAAACACGCTCTGTAAGATGTTCTTCACACCACTAAACCTGAAGATCCCGCACTTGCTTTGGAATAATGTCAGGATACAAATCAGGACTGTTTAACGAATCACAAATTCTCAGAACTTTAGTGCTGTAAGAAGTTTTAAAAGTAATCTAACCCCAATGCTACCTCTACCACACTCCTGTCAAGTGGCCACTTACATATAACAGCAGAACTGTATAATACAAAAATCCTTGAAAACCCATGAAATAAGTGGAGAAATTTTCACTTTTTACAAATGAAAAAGGATTAGTAAAATTGCAGCTCACCTAACTTGATGTTAATCCTCAAGAAACCACAGAAAAAAAATTACAGAAACAACTTAGGAGAACTTTGGAGGAAAAAGACAATGATTCCAGGAGTAGCAGAGGTAGTACAAATGTCAAACTAAACTCATTTTTCTTGATAGACCTACTAGGCCAGTAGATCAAAACAATGTTGTATTCTTAATGTATCTTGGCATGTGGAAGTTTCCCATGATAAACAATTTGAGATTAAAAAGAGTCTTGGTTCTTTATGAATTATACTCTGACATAAGCATTCAAATTATTTCTATAGAAAAAGACACTAGGTGGCACTGAGAAGGATACAGAAGGGAAGAGACACACGTAGAGTATATTACCTATCAGCAAGCTACCACTCTGAAATGTGGAATCCGTCCCCTGCCCATTCTTTCCACCTCCACACTCCTATAATATATATCAACCTCAAGGCATGCATCTAGAAAACCCCTTAGAATCCCAGGGGCTGGCAGGTAGGATCAGACTAGCATAAACAATAACCAAGTGCCAAAATAAGGTTGGGCAACAAGATATGTTTCAACTAACTGAAACCTTAAAAAGTACTTGAACAATAAAATTTCAGCTAGTATGGTGGCCCATACTTACAATCACAGCACTCTGAGAGCCTGAGGCAGGAAAGTCAAAAGTTCTAGACCAGTTTGGACAATTTAGGGACTTAGTGAAATCCCAACTCAAAAAATGCTACCTGGTAGCATGGGCTGGTAATGGGCTGGTAATGTGGCTCTGGATTTCAATGCCCAGCACATCACCCAATCAAAGCATCACTACAGCATAATAGTTACCATTTTGTTTACCATATGAATTTTACCTTATCATCTCTAAGCTGTAAAGGGTTTCTTTAGACAAGCACTATTTGCTACATTACTATGTAATTTGGCTGTTATCACTGCCATTTAATTTGGTAAGTTCAGTTTTTAAAGTGTAGCATTTTCAAGTGCTCTCTTCTGCAGTGTCCTACGCGCTGGAGGTACCTGCGTGGCTCTCGCACTGGGTTTCCCTCAGCACCCCGCAGCACCTTTGCTGGGGCCTCGGCACAGGCTGCTCTCAAGCTGCTCTATTCCGCAAACGTTCACTCCCTAAAACTCTCTGCGAGGTCGACTTCTCCTATTCAGTATAAATATCACCCCTCAGCTCCTCTTCCTTAGTACCATAAACAGGACACCTACTGCCCTTGCTTTTATTATCACATGTGAGGCAATCCTGCGACGTGAAGCATTTCCTTCAAATAACATATTTAAACAACGCATTTATTAGTTGTCTGCCTTCACTACACGTCTACCCTGCTTACCCCAAGAAAAGCTGAAACTCATAAGTCACAGCATTAAGCCTGAAAAATACAACAAATATTTTCTGAAGACTAAAAAAAAAACCCCAAAATCAACCAATTAACTAAATTGCTCCTCAAGAACTACAAGAAAACTTGGAAACCACCTAATCCAATCCTAGAGACTAAAAAAAGGTAAAGTTTTCCAAGAACACAGCACTCCTCGGTGCCACCTCAAGCCCTCAAGATCACACACATGTGACTCTCAAACACAGCACGAAAATCTGATCATATCACAACACTAAAAGAACCCATTAACTCTTTTCTCTCTCTCTCTTTTTTTTTTTTCTGCCTCAGGTTTACTTGTACAAAGAGCGCAGGAGGACACCAGCCCCCCACAGATGGCACCCCGGGGTCACACCAGTCCTGTTATTACATCAGCAGATCTGAGGCTTTCACTGTGGAGCCTTCACGGGGGCCTGGGCACCTCTGGGAGCCTGGGCCTTTGGCCAGCAAGGCCTGTGACCCTTGGCAATCCAGGCACAGATACGCTTCCCAAGCTTGGGGTGGGCAATACAGGCAAGACGAGTGAGCCTGCGGTTCACTCCCTTTGGAATAATCTTGGGCTTGACCTCCTTGGGCTTCATGAGGGCTTTGATAGCCTCGGCACATGCATTCATGGCCTTGGCATTGTTTGCTTGCATCTTCTTTTTTTTTTTTCTTTGACAGAACCGGGGATTGAACTCAGGCCCTTGTGCTTGCCAGGGAAGCACTTATTCCACTAAGCCATCTCCCAGGCACTGCTTGCATCTTCTTGAAGCCATTCTTGTTATACTTCTTGGCAAAACGCATATTCCTAAGGAACTTGGGATCTACCCCCTTCAGAGATGCATATCTTTGTGACCAAGGTTTCTTCTCCTCAGCCAAAGAAATAAAGTTTTGTGACCTAGGTTTCTTGATGCCATTTCTGTGTCATTTTCGGGACTGGTTGTGCATGCTGTGGTTCTTGGACTTAGCCATAACTGCACTATAAGCCAAGCGCCTGGAACTGGAATCCAATTAAGTCTTAACTAAACTGCTGATTACCAAAATTCTGCTGCCTGTACCTAAGCATAATAGCTTGGGAAAAAGTTAATTGACAAAGTATGTAGGGGATAGGCACAGGGGCACACACCTACAATGCCAACACTCATGAGATAAGAGAATTGCCTCAAATTTGAGGCCAGATTTGGCTACAGAGTTCAAGGTCAGCCTGAACTATATAGTAAGACCTGGTCTCAAAACCTACCACAAGAAAGGATGTACAGTAAAAATAAACATAAGTATCTTATATAAATATTTTCCATAATGAAAAAAAAATCCATTTTAATCAATTAAAATCTACAAATTTATATCTGTGTGTGTTTTTTGTTTTTTTTTGTGGAACTGGGGATTGAACTCAGTCCCTTGCACTTACCAGGGAAGCACTTGTTCTACTGAGCCATCTCCCCAGCCCCTATCTGTGATATTTTATTAACCTGACATATTCTTACCGATCACTAAAAACATATCTGTCCTAAAAACCATCTCTTACATGAACACACTATTTCCCAAAAAGGACTACTAAATGTTAAACTGTGTATATTTACCTCATTATTGGTGTAATGTAGATCCATGGACTGTCCAAAGGCAATTTTAGCTTTAGACTTCAGATCTTCCAGTTTAACTGGTCTGGGGAATTGAAGGATTCTATATAGACAGAATTCAAAAATATTTTATTTTCTTGACCACAAACAGTATACTTGTTCAACACAAAATTAAGTAAATATTCTGTATTCACTTTACCGCATCAAATGGCTCAATTTTGATCAAGTGCACAATTTTCCAACACAGAAATTCTGAAGTATGTTATATCTTTTTTTTTTTTTTTTTTTTTGAGTCAGGGTCTCACTATGCAGTTCAAGCTGGCCTTGAACTCACTGTGTGGCCCAGGCTTGCCTTGAACTTGCAGCAATCCTCTTGCCTCAGCCTCTTGAGTGCTGGGGTTACAGGCATGTACCACCATACCTGGCTAAAAGCTTCAGAAAGGACAAAGTTTCTGCAGTTTTTAATTTATCCTCCAAGTCATGTGTTAAGTAACAATGAAAAATGTCCACTGAAGAAAATGATTTAAGCTTATGTGTGCAACAGAATGCAATGAAACTGTTACAAAGAATAAAGCTGTTCTTTGGGGAATCATATCTTGATTTTTGTATCCTTATCAGCTCAACATTGTTGAGCATATATATCCCATAAACATCTCCAAAATAAATATTTTGAAGGAATTAAAATATGATTATAGTATTTTCTTCCTTTTTCCCAAAGGACTGCTGCACTTAAAACTTAGAGGCTACCTTAGACTACAAGCTCCACAAAGGGATAGTCCAGCTCTGCTCTGCTCACTGTTTGCCTTTGGGTAGCATACAGTGAGCTCTTAAAAAACAGAAACAATTAGGAACATAGTCATAGTAGAGTCTCAAGTAAGAAAGTAGACTGGCAAATAGTTATATTCTAACACACTGCACTTTTTCAGCATCTCTGTGTAAAGTTAAAATCTTTAAGTTATGTATTTCCAAACCATGTTAAAGCTAAGAATTTTTCTTAAAATAATATGACCACAGAAATGAATTTTCACAGAAATGAAAATATGATAGCAGAATAAAATTCAATCCTAACTCCTAACATTCTTGCAATTTTATTGTCAACTACTAATATCATGTGTACTGAAATATAGGTACCAACAGGTTTACCTCTCTGACAATAACTTGTAGCTACTATTCCAATTTATCTTCCTAAACATTTTTTTTTTTTTTTTGCGGTACTGGGGATTGAACTCAAGACCTTGCACTTGCCAGGCAAGCACTTATTCTACTGAACTATCTCCCCAGCCTTCTTCCTAAACATTTTAAACAAAAATACATGAGAATACAATGCAAATAATCAAAATCTGAAGGGATGATACAGTTAGAAGAATACATGTAACTTCCAATGAGTAAAAATTTCTTAAAATGTTAATATTTAAAGGCTGTATTACACAATTACCTTACTTCCTAGTATTTCAATGTAAAAACATCATTTTTAAATGTTTAGTCTCAATTTAAACAAATTTTATCCTACAATCTAACCACACATTAACATGACATCCTCAATTTGTTTTTTTTTAAATTTTATTTATTTGTGTGTGTGTGTGTGTGTGTGTGTGTGTGTGGCCAGCTCAGCCCACCAGGGGGCGGAGCTGGCTGGCATGTGGTGCTGGGGGATTGAACCGTGGTCCCTGTGCTTTGCTAAGCTTGTTCTAAGTAGGTGCTTTAGACCACTGAGCCATCTCACCAGCCCCGACATCCTCAATTTGTAAGCTACGAAGCTTCATTCTGGAAAAAAAACCTTTAAAGGTTTAATTACAATATTCTTAATTAGAATGTTTTATTAAATATATTGCCACATAATGTTTCCTTCTTTACCTTTTTTCTCCTCTATGTTCAAATTTGACACGGACATCATTCTGTAATGAAATGATAAATCTCAAAATCAGTTTTTTCTAAGCAACTTAATTAATAGAAAGCAAACAAAAAAGATTTCATTTTCAATACCAACTCTAATCCACTGACAATGTCTGCCAAAAAGGCAAGTTGAGAATAATGTTGCTGAATCTGGACTCAACAGAAAAGAGCGCCAAGATCACTTAGTGAAGGCACTAGTGGTACGAGACATTTGTAGCCCTGCTAAGGCAAAACATAGACGGCTAGACCATGGTCCACCCTCCCTGTGCAGTACATGTTCCAACACCACCCACTGTAGTTTTTTGTTTTCTCCTTATTAACTTAATTTTTACTTCTGCTCTTAAAGGAAATACAACAGTTTCTCTTTGTCATATGCAAACTGCCAGCATCACTATTCTCATACTTTGGGGCTATTACTAAATAAAGTATCTGAGCACAAGCATTTCGATATTCCAACAATTCACTCAGAACTTGGGTAACTACTAAGATGACCAACAGGACAGCATAAACAGAGTGGATAGGATGGATAAACAGACTGTTCATATCCTAAGCAAGACAGTGTACAGCACCAGAAAATTTCATCATGCCCCTCAGAAAGAAAGAATGAAAGAAAGAAGGGCCAGCCAGATAGCTCAGTGGACTAAAGCGCCTGCTTAGGCAGTGCGCAGTGGCTGGGGTCCGATCCCTGGTGTACCCTGCCGGCTCTGCCTCTGGGGCACACTGAGAGGCCACTGAGCCTGGGCATGGTGGTGTACACATATAATCCCAGCACTTGGGAGGCTGAAAACAGGAGGATCACTACGAGTCGGATCTACATAGTGAGACCTTGTAGACCCTGTCCTAAATGCACACACACACACACACACACACACACACGAGAAAGAGGAAGGCAGGCAGGCAGGCAGGCAAGCATATATAGTAAATTTTTTTCTCAAAACCAGATCTTCTTATGTAGTTCAGGTTATTATAGACAAGACAGCCTTGACCTCACAATCCTCCTGCTCAGCCTTCTGACTACTAGGATTACAGACACGTATCACCATGCCCAACCAAGGTACACAATTTAAAACTTAGGGTTATTTCTGAAATTTTCCAACTAATATTTTTAGATCTCAGTTGACCATGGTAAGTGAAATTGTGGAAAGTGAAACCATGGATGAGGGGGGACAGCTATAACTTTATTTTTCATGCTAGATATCCAAGACTAATTTCATTTACATGAATCAAAATCATCCTCAATTGTAAATATCCATAGTAGATTACTGGGGGGGGGGGAATTATTTAAAAGTGCAAGAAGAATGGATGAAATATTAAGTTTTAGCAATTACAAATGAAAATTTTTTAGAAATGCATACTTGTGGCCAGGGAGACGGCTCAGTAGGATAAGCACTTTCCTGGCAAGCACAAGGGCCCGAGTTCAATCCCCAGTTCCTCCAAAAAATAAATAAATAAAATAAAGAAATGCATACTTGTAAGAAAATATGGGGCCGGGGAGATGGCTCAGTAGGGTAAGCACTTGACTGGCAAACGCAAGGATCTGAGTTCAATCCCCGGTTTCGCCAAAAAAAAAAAAAAAAAAGAAAAGAAAAGAAAATATGTTCTACAGAACAGTTGATTTAAAAGTATAAAAGCTAAATATACTGAACAAATCCTCTACAAATCTGGATAGTATAAGAAAACAATTCACAGAACAAAATATATTAAAACATTACTGAAACAAATACCTGTTTTTTTGGTGATGATGATTTTGCTTTTCTCACTTCCTGTAAGGATAATGCTGGTCTACTGGCCTTATGAAGGACAGCCAGATCTTGCATGATTGAGTTCAAAGCCTGCTGATCATCTAGATATTTTTAAAACAAAATGCACACATAATTTTAATTTCAACATATTTATCAAAACATCAAACATTTATAATGGAACTCAATGTAAATTATCAATTTAGAACATTTTTAATACTTAGACTTTTTATTTACTTATTGTTTGTCTTTGGGGACGGGGTCTTGTTATGCAGATCAGGAGGCTGGCCTGGAGCTCTCTTTATAGCCGAGGCTGGTCTCATACTTGCAACAGTCTTCCTGCCAGCCTCCCAAGTGCTGGGATTATAGGCATGCACAACTATGCCTGGCGAATGCCTATACTTTTTTTTTTTTTTAATGTATTTGGTACAGCGTCTTACTATGTAGCTCGCACTCATAGTGATCCTCGTCTTTTCAGCCTCCCCAGCGCTGGGGTTGCAGACATGTGTCACCACATCCAGTCTCGATGGCCAGCTCAGCACACCCACCCAGCGGCATGGCTGGCACTGCGTGTGGTACTGGGGATTGAACCCTAGTCCCTGTGCATGAGTAAGCAGATGCTTAGTCCGCTGAGCTATAATGCCTATACTTCTGGGCAATCTAACTGAGTTCCTTCTTTGCTGGCTCAGAGAGTAGGGAGATTTGAGCTAACAAATCCACAGAAAGTCAAACATAGTGTGAATACAGCCAAACTAGAATAAGCACCTTTCTAACAATTCTTAGGACTGTTTCACAGTACTAAAATCCTCTGTAGTGGTCACAGGATACTACACAAAGTGGACAATTATGAATGTCATGAAGATGATGAGTTAACCCAATAGGCAAGGAGGGTTCCCAGAGCATTCCAGACTCTGAGAAATGGTACACAGAAGCAGCAGTGGGTTTCTGACATACATTGGAAGACACACAATTTAACAAAAATATTCTGGAGATAATTTCAAATACAATATTAAAAATATTCATGGGCTGGGGGTATAGCTCAGCAGCACAAATGCCTGTCTGGCAAGCGCAAGGGCCTGAGTCTTTCAGATAGGGTATCACTATGTAGTTCAGGCTGGCCTTGAGCTCTCTGTGTAGCCCAGGCTGACCTCAAACTTGTAGTGGTCCTCTTTGCCTCAGCCTCCTGAGTGCTGGAATTACAGGCATACACCACCAGGCCAAACTTAAAAATACTGAATTAGACACCTTTTGTGCTTTTTCATTATACTTGAAAAATAATACAATTAATTCTCAATAAAAACTCAAGTATATGAAATTCACACTTTTAAATAGCCATGGTTTACTGTAATTACATTTGTGTGTGTGTGTGCATATATATGTTTAAGCAATAGCTAATCTCTGCTTACCTCAGCGCAGCACTACTTGAGAAATCTATTTGATTAATATATAGTCAGAATGGAAATAAGAGCAATAAAAATAAGACACAGGACTTCACTAAAATCATATATACTTTCAGCTAGAGGTGAGGCTGACTGGAGTGGTGAAAATGGACTACAAGAGGAGACACTACATTCATGGCTACAAAGGAGAAAGTAAAAGGAACTTCAAAAGTAGGAGGGTGAAGTATTGGTTTGAATACTTGCTATGTAAGTACTGTACTTACACTGAAAGTAAAATAGCTACTCCAACTAAAGAATATGGGCAATTTAAGATTTTAGGGCTGGTGAGACAGCTCAACAGACTAAGCGCCTGCTTAAGCAAGTGCAGGGACCACATGCCATGAGGCTCACCCCCGGGCAAACTGAGCTGGCCACCAAGACCGGGCATAGTGGCACATGCCTGTAATCCCAGCGCTGTGGAGGCTGAAAACAGGAGGATTACTACGAGTCTGAACTGTGTAATGAGACCCTGTACCACATACATTTAAAAAATATATAAAAAAGGAACATCTTAAGCCTATGGGATCAGGTATGTGTGTATGGATGTATGTTAATAATGCACTGGTTTTTTTAAATAACAAGTAGGAAAAGTGTGAAAGAGACAAATTTGGGCATGTATTAACTTAGCATGCAGTTTCTTCCATTTTTCCAATGGGTAGGCACTACTCAATTTCTTTCTAGTGTTTCCCTGTCTAATCCCTTCCTCACCATGGAACCATCAATACCAAGAGGGAGGAAAAGAAAACAAAATGATATGTATGTGAATATCCACAATCCATTCATGTATCTTTAAATTCAAATTGTAATACCACAGGATATTAACAAAGCTGGTAAAACATCCCTCAGCCATCAGTGATTTGCTGCTCTACTCTGCTATAAAATTTTGTTTCTCTCTTACCATCAGACTCTAAACAAATCAAAATACATCCTCACAGTTTATTTTGAATGTTCCTAATTATGGCCTAAGAAGTACTAATAAGTGACTTAGCTGAAAAATTAGTAAACATACATATTATATAAATATCCTGTATCATAAATTTCTTCATAAAAAGGATTATCTTAACAGAAATTTTCTTCTTCCTCATTCTATCTTTTAATTATAACTAAAAAACTATTTTAGTTTAAACTTACCCATCATGGCAACCAACTTGACAACTGGCAATTAAAAAAACGGTTCTGTCAGCATTCTTTACTGCCTTGGGGGTAAAAAGACAAGCATAAATAGTAAGAGACAGAAGAGGCAGCCATAAAAACAAAAAAACTTGGTACAAATAACACTAATGAGAGAGAGTAAAAATATTTTACATGTTTTGAGGGAGAAGAGGGACTTTATACGTGGGGGCTGATCATGTAGGCAGCAATACCTAACACACTAAATCCCGACTCCCAGAAGAACAGCAGGTGTTCAGCACACCCCACAACACTTACAGACAACCCAGGGAAACAAGCCATTATCAGATAGACAGATGGACAGGCTCAGAGAGAGACAAACTGACAGAGAACACACCAAAGTAACTGCCACAACCCAGAGGAATATAAAGAGATACAAACTAATGTAACATATCCTGGATGGGAAGAGATGTAAACTCATAATGAATGACAATGTTAACAAAATAAAAAATTAAATTTTAAAATAAACTAAATTAAACACGATAAAAACAAATGGACAAAGCACACAGTCCCCCTAGAAATATAATGTCTTTCTTGAGTGAGGGTGGTAGACCAGACAGAAATGTAATGAACAAATTCTGGGAATGAGACAATAAGTAGATGGGCTTTCTACAAATTCCTGGCTAAATAAGAAACTATAGTCATGCATAAAGGAGACCCAAAAGGGCCAGGTACAACACAAAAACTGAAGCACATTTGGAAATTGCCTTAAAATTGTGTTCTCAAATCTATACACATCCATCAGATGATGACTGAAGCCTTAGAAAATTCAGATGTCTGCCAGCAACCTCAATCACTGGCTGACCCTAAGTTATGCAACACAGGCGCAACCCACAGGAAGGTTGGTCTGAAAAAGAAACACAAAAGAGAAAAAAACAAGAGACAAAAATAGCTATATAAACACAACAAGCAGCCAAACAAACATGGAAAATAACATTCTACAGATCAAGCAGCAGCAAGTTAGTTTTTTAAAAATCCAGGAGGAAAAAAAATCAGACTCCAGAGGTGCTGTATTGTATTACTCAACCTGTCTAGTTCTAAAATATTAATTCATTACAAACATGAAGCATGCAAATAAAGAGACGTAATCCATACTCAAGATAAAGTAGTAGTTGGGGCTGGCCTGATAACTCAGCAGACTAAAGCACCTGCTTAGGCAGAACACAGCAGTTGGGCTTCAATCCCAGGCGTGCCACGCAGGCCCCAGTGGGGGGGGGGGGGCACTAAGACCACAATTATGACTTGGTGTGGTGTCGCGCACCTGTAATCCTAGCATTTAGGAGGCTGAAAACAAGAGAATCACTATGAGTGTACATAATGAGACCCTGCAGACCCTGTCCCAAATACAGACAGACAGAGACAGAGAAACGGAGAGGGACGGAGGGAGGGAGAGAGAGAGAGAGAGAACAGAACAGAACAGAACAGAACAGAAAGTAGTAGTCAACAGAAACTAACTTTGAGATGGTCCAGGTAGTGAAATTAGCAAAATTTCAAAGCAACTATTTAAAAAAGATTTAGAAGAGTTAAAGGAAATTTTGATGAAATGATTCTAATAGGTGACCTTAATCGAATAGAAGAAACATCCAACTTGACAAAAAAAAAAAAAAAAAAAAAAACAAAAAACTTGACAAAAGAGTAATAGAAATTATACCACTTAAAGAACAAAGACACATGAGGAAACCTGTAGGACAACATTAAGCATACAAAATATACAAATAGGTATCCCAAGAGAGGAGAGAAAAAAAAAGTATCAGAAATATCTGAACAATGCCAAAAATTGCCCTAAATTCAATGAAAAAAAAAATCAACAGATAAATCAGTTATATGAACTCTAACTATGTTAAATGTCAAGAAATCTACAACCAGACACATCAAACTGCAGAAAAATAAAGTTTGAAAGTGGATCTTAAAGGAGGGAAAAGATGTAATTCCTGATTTTTATTTCCATTTTGTGTGTTGCTGAGGACTGAACCCAGGGTCCCTATGTAGGAGTGAGTCACGTGCTCTACCACAGAGCTATACCCTCAGCTCAAAACTGATCTCCATCAGAAAGAGTAGATGCCAGAAGGCTGTGGATTGGCACATTAAATAGCACAAGTGGTCTGGTGAGATGGCTCAGTGGTCTGGAGCACCTACTTAGAACAAGCTTACCAAAGCTCAGGGACCGCGGTTCAATCCTCCAGCACCACATGCCAGCCAGCCCGCCCCGGGGGTGGGCTGAGCTGGCCACACACACACACACACACACACACACAATAAATAAATAAAATTTAAAAAAAAAATAGCACAAGTACAATAAAAAAGTGTCCAGCAAAAATTTTGTATTCAGCAACACAATCCTTCAAAAATGATAGATGTAGACGTTCAAAAGAAAGACAGACAGACAGGCAGGCTGGCTAAGAGAATTCACCACAAGATCTACCTTGTAACAAATAGTAGCCAGGCCTGATGGGGCGCACACCTATAATCCCAGCACTCAGGAGGCTGAGGCAAGAGGTTCACCATGAGTTTGACACTATAATGGGCTCCAGAGTGAGTGTAAAACCATCATGAATCACAAAATGAGACCCCGTCTCAAAAAGGTCCCCCAAAAAAGAGTAAAGGGAGTTAGTTCTTCAGACTAGGAAGAAATGTCAAATCCAGAGGATGAAATGAACACAGGAAACCACAAATCTGAAAGTAAGTTGAAAGACTATGTTTTATTTTTTCATAAACTTTTAAAAAACATATCACTGTATAAAGTTAATACCAAGGATCAACAGAACAGATTAGAAGATGCAGAAACAACTCCTGACAAACTCAGCCACATTATCATTAACATATGTGACAAACATATTCACTGGAAGGACAGCTACTTTAATATATGGTGCCTGAAAAACTGTTTTTGCACATACTAAAGATTAAAATTGGACCCATATAGCTCACCATGTACTAAACTAAATTGAAAAATGGATCAAAAATCTAAATATTAAAACAGAAACATTCGGGGCTGGTGAGATGGCTTAGTGGTCTAAAGCACCTACTTGGAACAAGCTTGGCAAAGCACAGGGACCGCGGTTCAATCCCCCAGCACCACATGCCAGCCGGCCCCGCCCCCTGGTGGGCTGAGCTGGCCACACACACACACACACAAACACACACACAAATAAAAGTTAAAAAAAAAAAAAACAAACAGAAACATTCAATCTGTCAGAAGACAGAATAGGTAAAACTCTTGAAGACACTGTTGTAGGCAAAGACTTTAATGAATAAAACCTTGATCATACAAGAACTATCACAAAGAATCAACAATGGGAATCTCACCTTATTAAAAAGCTTTTGCAGCCAGGCATGGTAGCACACACCTGTAATCCCAGTACTTTGGAAGCTGTGGCAGGAGGCTCGTTTTGAGTTCCAGACTAGCCTGCACTACAAAGTAAGCTCAAGGCCAGATTGAACTGCATAGTGAGACCCTGTCTCAAAAAAAGGCAAAAAAATTAAAAATAAAGAGAAAATAAAAATAAAGCCCAGAAGCCCGGAGGCGGGTTTAGGGCCGAACGTTCCCGACACGTCCCGCGGTGCATCGTCGCTACCTGCGGGTTTGAATCTTGGAACCAGGCTTTAAACTCTGGTGGCGACGGAATGCCGCCCCCCCTCCCCCCGGTATTGTCCAGGATGTGGCAGCTCCATCTCAAGGACCACCGTATGTGTACGTTCAAGAACTGGCCCTTGGGCTGGAGAGATGGCTCAGTGGTCTAAAGCACCTACTTGGAACTAGCTTGGCAAAGCATCAGGGACCGCGGTTCAATCCCCCAGCACCACA